AAAAAAAAAAAGAACAGGGAAAAAAAAAATAAAAGAAAGATTAAGAAAGGAAGGGAGGAAGGGAAGGAAGGGAGATTGAAAGAAAAAAAATAGTACCTTCATTACTAGGTTGTTGTTGGAATTATGAAAAAATATAGAGAAAATGCTTCGGACACTGTAAAGTACACATTAAGTGCTCAAAGTTGCTCTTGGCTATTATTATTACTAAACCATTACCAGGTAGTTTTATTTACAGTACTCTAAAACTAAGGCCTAGACTACTGATTACTATTCAATAAGCCTTAAAGATGTCAAGGGTTTTCTGTATGTGCATAAGGCTCCTTTAATCTCTATCTGGCCACAAAGGACAGCACTGAATAAGAAAGAGGCAGTAAGATGAAAATCTAAAAGGGCAAGGAGAGGCAGAACAGGGAAGGAAAGTACAGGAGTGGGAGAACTGGAGCACAGACTAAATTTCACTTCCTTCCTCACTTGTTCTCTGCAATCCTGAGGACTATGAGCTCCTTTCAGGAGGGCATTTGACAGAATGAACACGGTCTGTTAACTGCTAAATGTCTTTGGAGTATATAAACACCAGGCTCCCTAGGCCAGGCGTCCTCAAACCACATGCAGTCTGCCAGGGACATTTATCCGGCCACCAGGTGTTTTTGCCGCTGCTGCCTGTCCTGCTTAGCAGCCGACTTGTCCCGGGGCCCACAGTCCAGCCCTCCAACGGTCTGACGGACAGTGAACTGGCCCTCTGTTTTAAAAGTTTAAGGACCCCTGCCCTAGACAATGTGGCTGGATTTTCACTTACAATGGCAATACAGCATTAAATCTCAATCCAAAATTCGATAACAGTTACTTTACCATTTATAATGACCTTGCTGGCAAAAGTTTCCGCATTATCACCTTGATAGTAAAATGTTTTTTTAAAAAAATAGCACAATGAACATCATGACTAAATACTACAAATTTGGGAGATAAGTGAGCAAGAAAAAAAATTATACATACTGTGGCCAGGTGCAGTGACTCATGCCTATAATCTTAGATCTCTGAAAGGCCGAGGCAGGTGTATTGCTTGAGCTCAAGAGTTCAAGACCAGCCTGAGCAAGAGTGAGACCCTGTCTCTACAAATTGAGAAAACGGTTCTTCGCCTGTGGCTCAAGTAGCTAAGGCACCAGCCACACACACCTGAGCTGGCGGGTTCAAATCCAGCCCAGGCCTGCCAAACAACGATGGCTGCAACCAAAAAATAGCCAGGCATGATGGTAGGCACCTGTAATCCCAGCTACTAGGGAGGCAGAAGCAGGAGAATCACTTGCGCCCAGGAGTTGGAGGTTGTCGTGAGCTGTAATGCTATGGCACTCTACTCAGGGTGACAGCTTAAGGCTCTGTCTCAAAAAAAAAATATATATATATATTTTTATATATAGGTGTATATACATATATATAAAAAAAAGAAAAAGCTAGCCTGACATGATGGTGGATGCCTCTAGTCCCAGCTACTGGGGAGGCTGAAGTAAGAGGATCACTTAAGATCAAAAGTTTGAGGTTAGAAGCACCCACAGTTCAGTAGGTAGGGCACCAGCCACATAAACCAAGGCTGGTAGGTTCAAACCCAGCCCCAGTCAGCTAAAAAAACAACAACTGCAACAACAACAAAACATAGCTGGGCATTGTGGCCAGTGCCTATAGTCTCAGTTACCTGGGAGGGTGAGGCAAAAGAATCACTTAAGACCAAGAGTTTGAGGTTGCTGTGAGCTGCAACACAATGGCACTCTACCAAGGGTGACATAGTGAGACTGTCTCAAAAAAAAAAAAAAAAAGAGAAAGAAAGAAAGAAAAAGGAAAAACTGAGGCAAGAGGATTGCTTGCCCAAGAGTTGGCAATAGCTTGAGATTCTTGTCTCAAAAACAAAAAACAAAAAAACACACACACAGTAAATACTGAATGCATGCAGCCTGCTTTCACCACCCAGCTACCAGAATACCATCAGCTAGATTTTCATGCTCCAAGGAAGACCAAGGCCTCTCTGGGCCATCTAACCAGCTGTAGAGAAAAGAGCTAAAGATATGGACATCATGGATTCTCCAATAAAACAGACTATGAGGTGGCGCCCATAGCTCAGTGGACAGGGCATCGGCCACATACACTGAGGCTAGCTAGTGGGTCGAACCTGGCGCAGGCCAGCTAAAAGAACAATGACAACTGCAACAACAAAAAAAAATAGCTGGGACCTGTGGTCCCAGATATGTGGGAGGCTAAGGCAAGAGAATCACTTAATCACTTAAGCCCAAGAGCTGGAGTTGCTGTGAGCTCTGACACCATGGCAGTCTACCCAGGGCAACAAAGTGAGACTCTATCTCAAAAAAAAAAAAAAAAAAAAAAAACCATACTATGAAAAAACACCCAACAGTTAAACTTGAAATTAATAAGCCTACCCATTTGCTCAGAGCTCCCAATTAGCTACATAGTTCCAGTGTCGATCAAGAGCTGAAAATTAAAGATTAACAGACATCTGAGGATGGAAGAGGGAAACAAAAACAAATAATTAGAAGAAGCAACTTGGAAGAAACAGACTATGCACAGAGAGGATGGAAAAAAGCCTATCACTAATATCCCTAGAAAGGAAAAACAAAATACTATATCCATGAAACAAAAACAAGATTTTTTTAAAGAAGATTAAAGAAAACAAAAGAGCTCTCAGAAAATAAAAATATGGTTAAGAGAAAAGAAAAACTAGGCTCGGCGCCTATAGCTCAACCGGCTAAGGCGCCAGCCACGTACACCTAGGGTGGCGGGTTTGAATCCCCAGCCCGGACCGCCAAACAACAATGACGGCTGCAACCAAAAAATGGCCGGGCGTTGTGGCGGGCGCCTGTGGTCCCAGCTACTTGGGAGGCGGAGGCAGGAGACTCGCTTGAGCCCAGGAGTTGGAGGTTGCTGTGAGCTGTAATGCCACAGCACTCTACCCAGGGGGACAGCTTGAGGCTCTGTCTCAAAAAAAAAAAAAAAAAAAAGAAAAGAAAAACTAGATGGTAGGGTTGGACAACCCAGATAAGGAAACCTAGAAAACTTGAGCTACATGCTCAAAGAGGAAAAATGACAGAGGAAAACTGGGAGAAAAGATAAGAAAATCAGAAGACCAAATTAGGAAGTCCAACATTCAATAAAGCAATAGCTCAAGATAAATCCAACAGGGAAAGGAAAGGAGGGAGTTGTCAAGAGAAGTTCCTACTACCAAAACCCAACTGCCAGATTCAAAGTGCTCACCACATACCAAATGAGTGGAAACAGACCCACACAAAGGGGTATCACTATAAAACTGCAGAATGCAGTCCATAAGCTTCCACCTAAGTGCAAACCAGACATACACAAAGAACCAAGAATCAGAATGGATCAAATTTCCTGACAGTACACTGATAAAGTTTCTGCTCTCCCTTTCATGCCCTGTTCAGACATTCATTTCAACTCACCAGATTTTCTAATTTTACCCTAAATCTGAAAACTAGAAGAAGCTCTGAAGACTTCAGAAGCTGAAAATACAAAGTAGCCCACTCCCTTTGACCATATTTCTATAAGATGTCCAATACTTAGTCCAAAGTACAACCCTGCCTGATGCCCTGAGGTAACCTTGTTCTCCAGACTGCCTCATGACCTAGCCCGCTGACTTTCCCCAAAGAGATTCTCAAAAGCCCTCAGGAACACTAGCTGGGGGGTGCGGCAGGTGCCTGTAGTTCCAGCTACATGAGAGGCTGGGGCAAGAGGATTGCTAGAGCCCAAGAGTTTGAGGTTGCTATGAGTTATCATACAACAGCACTCTGCCCAGGGAGACAAGAGTGAGACCCTGTCTCCAAACAAACAAACAAACAACAACAAAAATAAAACCCTCAGGAACACTGAAGCCAGGCTGTGACCCTGAGTCTGCAGGGATTATCTTCTTCCGAGGGGACTACAACCAATAACAGCATAACTGACCTTTCCTTTGACAACTAGGTGTGTCCTATGACTCCATTTTCTATATAGATATGATGAAACTAAAAAGGAGAAGGGAAAAAATCCTAACAGCAAAGTTAGAGGCAGGCTGGGGGAATATAACAGAAGATGGGCCCATAGCAGCATTCCACCAGCCTAGGCTGAAAACAATAGTGTATGTTTTTCTTCGTTTATACACTCTCTTTACAATTTTAAACACTGTTTTTAATGCACATATTCCTTCAAGTTAGAAATTATTTACCTGTAACACTCATTATTAAATGACAAAGGTTTATACCACATCAAGAGCATAGCTCCGCTATATCAATCATGAAAGTTATTGGTTTAATTTTAAATTCATATAAAAATTAATACCAGATTTACTTACATTATGAGTCTGCGGTTTAAGAACCAGTATTTCCTCCGACTTCTGTCATATCCAATAGGTTCATGTCGAATATAAGGTTTATTTTTTTGGATTTCAGCAACACAGTCAGTCACACCAGGCACCTTGTGTGCTACACAGACTTCACACTGCCATTCGTCCTCTGGCACCTCCTCAAGAGGTGGCTTCACACATTCCAAATGGTATACTGCTGAACACGTCTCACAGCAAAGCAAATCCCCAAGTTTGTGACAAACCCTACAATGGTCATCATACTGTATCACCCCTTCAGACATCAATTCCTCACGAGCAATATTTGTTGTAAGAAACTGATCAACTAAAAACTGCAGAACTTTGATCTTGTTCTCTACTGGTCCATAAGGATAGTCCTCTGCCTCTTGGTAAGGAAGGACATGATGGTACTCCTTATCACTCTCACAGTACACACGCAGCACCTCTGGCCACGTCATCCCATCTATGAAATACAGCGTGGAGTTAACACTGTCTTTCAAATCAGCAGGTCCAAAGGTAGTATTGGAAGTGTCTTCTTCACGCAGAACTGCTTTCAAAAGCACAACGTGCATCTCTGCCATGAGTGTGCATTGCTCTTGGCTCACCAGAGCTGCACAGAAGTCCTCAAAGCGAAAAGGAGACAATCTTAAAACAGTGCCAAAGTTCCGCAGTACCTCATAAATGGCAATAACATTCATTATATGCTCATTAGGCACCATTAAATCCTCAGAGGACTTGGGAAATTCAAGGGGTGGGATGTCTTTTTCTTCCAATATTGGAGAACGAGGCCGATGTACTCTTGGTTTTCGCCTACCTGTAAATAAAGAAATATTATTATAAATCCATCCATCATTTCTACAAACTAAGGGTTCTCAGGTCTTCCCTATTTGAACACATCCCTCAATAAACAAAGAAGCAAATTTCTTTAACAATTGTCAAATTAAGTCTATAGAAAAATCTAATCGGCGCCTGTGGCTCAAGTGGCTAAGGCACCAGCCACATACACCTGAGCTGGCAGGTTCGAATCCAGCCCGGGCCTGCCAAACAATGATGGCTGCAACCAAAAAATAGCCGGGCGTTGTGGCCAGCGCCTACAGTCCCAGCTACTTGGGAGGCAGAGGCAGAAGACTCTCTTGAGCCCAGGAGTTGGAGGTTGCTATGAGCTGTGACGCCACAGCACTCTACCCAGGGCAACAGTTTGAGGCTCTGTCTTTAAAAAAAAAAAGAAAAAGAAAAATCTAAATTCAAAGTTTCTCATTATCACAAGAATGGAAAAGCTTAGCTGGGCATTGCATTGTGGTGAGCAGCTACAGTCCCAGCTACTGGGGGGGGGGGGGGGGGGGCTGAGAGAAGAGGATCACTTAGGCCTGAGAGTTTGAGGTTGCTGTGAGCTCTGATGCCATAGTGCTCTATGGGGGTAGGCAAGAAAGTGATACTCTGTCTCCAACAAAAAAGAATGGAAAAGCAATTATCCAATGTACTCAATACTAATATGAAGCCAATAGATGATGTGATGCTTGCCCACATAGGAGAAAAAAATCATTTCAAATCAAATTGGGGGGAGGGGATTGGAGTGCTCTCACTGAATGGGCATGGTTGGGGGTGTTTGGCACACCTTTGTGTGTGGGACATAACCACAAGAAGGACTTTACCTAACAAAATCAAATTTTTTGACCTGGTTGTACCCTCACATTAACCTGAAATAAATTTACTTTATAAAAACTAAATCACTTTCCTGTTTAAAAAAAAAAAGTTGGCTCAGTGCTGCGGCTCAGTGAGTAGGGTGCCAGCCACATACATCAAAGCTGGCGGATGTGTAGCCCAGGCCTACTAAACAACAATGACAACTGCAACCAAAAAACAGCAGGGGGGTGTTGTGGTGGGTGCCTATAGTCCCAGCTACTCAGAAGGCTGAGGCAAGAGAATTGCTTAAGCCCAAGAGTTAGAGGCTGCTGTGAGCTGTGACACCACAGCACTCTACCAAGGACTACAGAGTGGGAGTCTATCTCAAAAATAAAAAATTAATTAGTTAATTAATTAAAAAGTTTCCCTAGGGGTAGTGCCTGTGGCTCGAGGAGTAGGGCGCCAGCCCCATATGCCAGAGGTGGCAGGTTCAAATCTGGCCCCAGCCAAAAACTGCAAAAATAAATAAATAAATAAAATGTTTAAAAAAAAAAAGTTTCCCATTTAGATTCTAAACCATAAGTTTAAAAATGTGAATTATAATCAGTTCTCAGTTACCCAGATTAAATGGTTTACAAATAACCATGACTGATCTGACAAGAATATAATGAGAAAAAACATCTACGTGTAAGATGACCAGCATGAGGTGGCTGTCTTAACCAGAAATGCCTCTCAACAACCAGAAGGAAGCTGCCAGAGTAGACAGACCACTGTTCCTGTGCCAGAACTACTTCCTGAGGAGTTCCACAGTGAAGCTCAGGCTTAGGGTGAAGACAGAAAGAAAAACAGTGAAAGGAGGAAAGAAGAGGAGCTCTAAACTGGGAGGAAAAAAGCAGCTCACCTAGGAAAAGACAACAGCCTACATTCTTCACAGTTAAGCAACTTTTAGATGCCTGTCTCCCAGTCTATGAAATGTGATGTCCAACCACATATATAGCATGCATATGTAAGTATATAACGTATCTCTCTATATAATATTTGACAGTTTAGTTTGTAACAAGCAAACATATCTCCTTTAATCCCTTGAACCAATCTATGAGGTATGAACTCTGCTTTATAAATAAGAAAACAGAAAGTAACAAGTTTTTCCAAAAACTGAGTTATTATTATACATTCCCATTGTTATCTATGTATAGAATGGTAAATGTATTTCTAATTTTTAAAATAATTTTAACGAGATCAATTGACATCAAATTCATTTTTGTACAATTAAGTTACATTAACCATGATTTTGGGTGGCTTGGTAACCTGTTAACCGTGGCCCGCCCATCCTCCCCAGCTCCAGCTTACTCTCATTATCTGCAAACTAAAATGTTATATGACACCAGAGGAAAAAAGTATGCTTAAGAATACAAAAGGTCAGCTGGGTGCAGCGGCTCATGCATGTAACACTGGCACTCTGGGAGGCCAAGGCAGGTGGACTGCTTGAGCGCAGGAGCTCGAGACCAGCCTGAGCAAGGGTGAGACATCATCTTTACTAAAATAGAAAAGTTAGCCAGGCACTGTGGTGGACACCTGGGTCCCAGCTACTTGGGAGGCTAAGGCAAGAGGATCACCTGAACCTAAGAGTTTAAGGTTGTTGTGTGCTAGCCTGACTCCATGGCACTCTAGCATGGGCAACAGAGTGAGATTTTGTCTCAAAAAAAAAGATGCTCAACACCATTAGTCATTAGGGACAAGCAAATTGAAACCACAATGAGATACCACTATACATACCGATTAAGGTAGATAAAATTTTTTTTAAAACTGATAGTATCGGCTCGGCGCCTGTGGCTCAAGCGGCTAAGGCGCCAGCCACGTACACCTAAGGTGGCGGGTTCAAATCCCCAGC